TCAACATTAATGCCATGATTTTCAAAGTCTCGTGATAGATGAGAAAGTTATCCACTGGAAACAAAGTATACCCTATAACAGACTATGTTAATCTTTGACCTTCAACTGTGGTCTTGGTCTTGGAGGCAGGCGGCTGGCTTTTACGCACGACACATCGTCTTATGTTATGTGCAGATCTAGCATTGATTATGCACTGAAAGGTCAGATTTATATCCAATCTTTTAAAAGTAGCACTATTTTATGCTTCAAGTAAAACTTCCCTTAGGCGGGGGGAAGTTTGAAACTCTGTTACAAATTCTTGTAAACTTTTAATATTCTTAAAAATTTGAGTAGGTATGAAGTTGAAAAATTTTCAACTTACCAATAAAGGTCAATCAAATATACTTTGTCATGTACATAAAGATATCTGTTAATAAAGGCTGTATGAGCATAAGTGTATAAATATATTTTAAGCGGTAGTGAGAGCTCTTGTGATCAAGTTTTATCCGGTGTCCATCGTCCGTCACTACGACCGTGCGTTCAGCGTCAAATCTTTATATAAACGACTTCTTCTCACAAACAAATGGGCCAAATTTGATGAATATTCCTGGGTCATGTTTCAAGCATAAAGCTCTGCTAAAATTGTTCGAATGGTTCTGCTCAATTGAACATCTGGGTCAGGAGGGCTAAATATTTTAAAATGAAATCTTTAAAAAGTCTTTTTCTTTGAAAATGCAAGGCATACAGCTTGGATATTTTGTGTATAGCATTTTCTTAGAAAACTCTACAAAATTGTTCAAATGCTTGTCCTGGGGGTCATTGATTTTCCTTAAATGTGTATATAGTAACAACTAGAAATCTTCTCCTTTCAATGTTTAAGGCATAGAACCTAGATATTTTGTGTGTAACATTATCTAATGAAACACTACAAAACATGTTCAAAATATAGCCCTTGGGTCAAAATTGTCTCCGCCTCGGGGGTCTAAATATTGTCCTCTGAAAGTGTAAGGCCTGGAGCTTATATATCTTGTGTGTAACATCATCTAATAAAACTTATCAAAAATTGTTCAAATGAAACCCTCGGGTCAAAATTAGCACGCCTCGACGGTCTTTAATTTTCATTATATACATAAAGTAAAAACTTAAAAGAAATTTCCCTCTGAAAGTGCAAGGCCTAGAGGTAGATGTAATTTGTGTGTAGGATCATCAAATGAAACCCTACAAAAAATTTTCAAATGTTAGCCTTGGGATCAAAATTGGCCTCGCCCTAGTGGGGCATTGATTTTCCTTAACAGTATTTAGTTAAAACTAAAAAATATAATCATATTCTCTATTTTCACTTAAGCTCGAGTTTAGATATCGGGCATGAAAAACATTGTGTAGTAGACCTCTACCAAGATTGTCAAATTATAGCCCTTGGGTCAAAATTGGCCCTGTCCGGAGCCATTGAGTTTTATTATGAACCTATAGTATAAGCTTAAAAAAAATTTCCTCTGAAAGTGCAAGGGCTAGAGCTGGTATCTAGGGAAATTATAAAAAATCTTCTGCCATAAGAATAATTTTAAACCCTAGATATTTGGTATGTAGCATACTATTCATACAATCAGGATTCTTGTCTAAGAAATTACTTGAATAAGTTCGAACATGGGTCATGACAGATGAAAAAACTAGGTAACAAGAGTTAAAAATAGAAGAATCTTGTTAATCCAGTGGCTTTTGTTTTGATCTCAATATCCTGAAAATTGGTAAAAAAATTCGTTTTGACGATTTCTCGTTTCAGTTCAAATTTTCTTTTTGATTTTTGTATGTAAGGTTTGAATATGGGTCACCTTGGGTCAAAAACTATGTCTCACAGTCAAAATTTGGAAAAACCTTGTTAACGCAAGTTAACTTGTTAACCTTGTTATCCAAATATCCTGGACATTGGTCAAAAAGTCCGTTGTGATGATTTCTAGTTCGAATATGAAAATGGGTTACCTGGGATTAAAAACTAGGTCACACAGCCCAGACGGAAAACTTGCTGAGACTCCAGAAGCAACTATTTTGAACAACAAAATATCCTGGAAAATGGGCAATAAGGATGTTATGGTTTTTTCTAGGTAAAGTTCAAATATGGGTCACCTTGGGTAAAGAACTAGGTCTCACATAAAAAATGTAAAGAAAAACCTTGTTTACACTATAGGGGCAATTTTTTTAATCCAAATACTAAAAAATGGTTAGAAAGTATGATTTGATGATTTTTGTAGGTCTGGTTTGAATATGAGTCACCTGGGGTAAAACAATGTCACACAGTCAAAATTCGGGAAAAACCTTGTTAACACTCTAGAGGCTAATTTTTCTATCCAAATATCCTGGAAATTGGTCAGAAAGTATGTTTTGATAATATCTATGTCAAGTTTGAATGTGGGTCACATGGGGTAATAAATTAGGTCAGTCATCCCAGATATGGAAAACCCTTCTAACACTCTAGAGTCAAGTATTTTGAACCAAATATTCTAGATATTAGTCAATAAGGTTGTAATGGTTATTTCTAGATCAGGTTCGAATATAGGTCATCTGGTGTAAAAAACTAGGTAACACAGCCTAAATATTGGAAATACTTGTTAACATTCTCGGGGCTACTGTTTGAGTCCAAATACCCTGGAAATTTGTCAGAAATGTCTTTATAATTTCCAGGTCAAGTTTGAATATGGGTCACTTATGTTCAGAAACAAGGTCACACAGCCTTTATTTTGGAAAACCTTGTTTACACCCTAGAGGCTACTGTTGTGATCCAAATACCCCGAAAATTAGTCAAAATGGGTTGATTTGGTGATTTCTTGCTCAAGTTCGAATATCGTCATATTCATAACCTCTGGCTGGAATTCAACAAAACTTCAGGGGAACTATCTATACCTTGATTGCATGTGCATATCGCCGCTTTGTTTTGTTCAGACCTTTCAAGAAAGAGTTATAGCCCTTGATAAGTTAAATAATATGTATGTAGAGCATTAATCGTTTCCGCGCTAGTTCTCTGAAACTAGTGGCTGGAATTCAATTAAACTTGATGGCAACCATCAATATAAAAAAGATTCACATTTTGTCGCCTTTTTCCAATCAGAGTCTTCAAGACCAGAGTTTAGGTCCTTGTTAAGGTCCTTAGTTATGCAGTATGCATATAGATCAATAATCGTTTTTGCACTATTTTTCTACTGACATTCAACAAAACTTTATTGGAATCATCAATACCAAGAGATTTGCATATCATAGCCTTGTTCTGGTCAGTTCCTTCAACACAGAGTTTTGGACCCTGATTACTTATGCAGTATGCATATAGAGCAATAATCGTACTGGCTGGAATTCATCGAAACTTTATTAGAACAACTAGTACCAAGAGGAGATGCGCATCTCATTGCCTTTATCCGGTCTGACCCTTCATGACAAATTAAAGGCCCTTGATTAGTTGTGTTTTATGCATACAGAGCAAGTTTTTTTTTTTTATCAACTGCTTTCAATTGATTTCAACAATACTTTATGGGAACTATAATAACTCAATACAAAAAGGAAATTTGCATGTCATGATGATATTATGTAAATAAGTCTTAAATAAAATGTCTCCATTGTTGTGCCAGTTTTAACCGGTCCACGTCGGGGGATATTAATTCAACGAATTTGCTTGTTTATTTATGCATTGACTTCATACTTGGACATAATAATCGAGGACATGACCTTTATGTAGATTAAATTGACTTCACTCATCGGTGAGCTTGACCGTAAAAATAAAATTATTGAATTTTGCTTGTTTTTTTCTATAATTACGTATAAAAGTGTTTTAGTCCCCTACCGGTTTAACCAAATGATTTTACCCGCTATCCGTCCGTCTGTCTGTCCGTCCGTCCGCATTAAGATTGTCCGGGCTTTACAGGTCAAACTGCTGGTGGGATTTCAACCAAATTTACAGGAATATTTTTTGGTTATTTCGATTTGAGAATCAAATAAACTTTCAATTGACTTTTCAAAATTTAAAAGAGGACAATTACATTACACAATTTTTGGAAGTGTAGGATTTTATTTTTATCTCATTTCTTCCATAGGAGCCAGCCTGCAACCCTCAAACAGAGACTGATCATGTTTTTCCCACACTGCCACCTGAGGACAACAAAGTTCAGTTCAGAAGGTAAGAGATGAGTTGTTACAGAATATCATCATTATAGATAGAGATTGCTATTGTTGAACAGTGGATTCAGGTGAAAAAGAAAAAGAAACAGGTATAGGGTGTAATTACTGACTTTATGATAGTATAGGGTTTTTTTTATTGATTGTGTGATGGTACAAGGGTATTAAAACTGACTCGGCATCTGTTAAAAGTTGCCGCGTACTTCACTTCAGTGTTGTTATCTTTTTCTGGCCCTTCGGGATCATTGATGTCAGCACTATTAAGTTTTGAGCAATGAGTTCCACTCAGGTCGGTGCTGAGGGGGGGGGGGGGCGTTAAGGATGTTGCACTTATTCATTCATTATCCTTCGTGTAAAAACTCAATCAAAACGAGTCTGCAATTATCATGTAATTTTGTTGTGATTAATGCTTCCCCGATGGATCACTTTGTTTTAAGATTTTAATGATTATGTTAGGGGTAAATGACTGACTTAATGATGTTATAAGGGTTTATGGCTGACTATATGATGGTTTGCACTTGACAGTATCGTCTTTGAATAGGCTCAATAAAACTGAGCCGGCAACATTTTCAATCTTGCCGTTTTGGACTTTCTTTATGGGTTCTTATTTTTCTCTATTTTAAGGGGAAAATAACTGACTTTATGATGTTATAGGGGTTTATATCTAACAATGATGGTATTGAGTATTATATTAGACCTTATGATGGTGAATGGGTCTAGTGCTGATTTTGTGATGGTATATGGGTTTATAGTTGACTTCTTGATAGTTTAAGGGTAATAAATGACTTTATGATAGTACAAATTTTTAGAAGAAAGTATGAAAAGTTTTTTCTTGCCTTTTGTAAAAAATGAAGTAGTAAGAAGTGGCTGAACTGTTCTCTGATGAATTCTAGGTGGCTCACTGCTGTGATCAGGTGGGGGAAGCTACAAAAGCAACTACCTTAAATTATCTTGAATAATTTTAGATGAAATCATTAAATATGGTAAAATCTATAAATATTTTAGATATTGGATAAATATGAAGTCTACCTACGTTTTTTCACCCCTTTTTAATATGATTCTATTGCTTTAATTTGACTAAATAGAGAAAATAAGAATCCCTAAAGAAATGTTGCAGACTCGGTTTGATTGAGCCTGTTCATGGACGGTACTGTAAAGTGCAAACAATCGCTTACGCCTCCTAGCACCGGCTTAAGCATAATACAACATTTAATCATGGTAATGGTAAAACTATGAATTTAAAAACATTAGCAGAAGTGTTCATACAGCGGTTATCATGGAATCTTCAATGTGACAATTCCGTGCCATTCCAAAAAAAGCGGCGTATGGTCCCCAAGTAAAAGAATACGTGCGCTCTAAGGGCGGAACTAAATAAAATGTTTTTGAAAAGGAATCAGAGGTTTTCAAGCCTACATATCACAGATAAGACGTCAAAAGACAAATTTGAAAAGCAGGCAACATATTCTAAGGGTTATTCAACATTATACATGTCGGAATAATGGAACCGCCACACTAGAAAAATGCCGAAAAATGAAAAAAAACTAAAAGTATCACAAACACAGAAATAATGTCGTGCTGAACGACCTTTAAGGATCGGAAATATAACATCTCTGATTGAATGTACGGGGCGACTTTTTACAGCGTGTATCGTGTGTATTTTAGCCACATTCTTTTTTCAATGTTACTTTGTTGATTAATCCTTAAGAAAAAATATATATCTTTGTCAATTAACACAGTGTTATTTTGTTTGTCATTTTTCAGAGGAAAGCCTCAGGAGCAAATAACATCATATCCAAGATGGGACCTAAAGTGGATCTGGTATGTGTTTTTTTAAACAACCATCTGTTGCTTAATGATGTAAATCTTGTAGTATCTCATGTTGATCTGCTGCTCGGAAAAGTGATATATACATGACATATATTTATTTTATGATTTCAAATGAATAAAACTGTAATTGTTTCATTAAACATTAATACCTTTTTCTTAACAGTTGTCTCGACACAAGTCAAGTCAACAGTTTGAAAATATTAACTGTGTTTATCCTCTCCTGATATGTAAGAATCAATATTATCAATATTATATGTAATGATATTGGGATGCTTGTCATGCGTCTCGATTTGCACTAGGGGTTGTTCGGGGTTAAAGGTCACACACTACAAATCATTTACTCCTCACCACTGTGGGTTTGAATCTCGGCAGAAACTTGGATATCTACATGTGACGGAGTCCGCTGGTTTATTGAAAATTCATGGATCGACTCGGGTGTCTAAATGAACATTATTTTAGAGGTTTTCCACCAGGAACAAAGCTTAACCTTTTGGGTCATTGATGCTAGCACTACTAAATTTTAAGAAATGAGTACCGCTCAAACCGGTGCTAGGGGGCTTGAGAGATGTTGCACTTGTTCATTATCCCTCATGTACAGACTCAATCAAATTTTTTTGCAGTGATTCATGTTTCCGAGGGATCACCTTGTTTTAATATCTTTGTCTGTTATAAGGAATATTTGGTTTTTGATACATATATTTTTTTTAAAGATCAATTGATTATAAAATTACTTGGCACAAATGTTCACAATAATAAAATGATGTGCCATGCACAAAACACGGACCCCCTTCCTCCAATGCGAAGGTCTTACTTGAAGGCCAATGCTTAACATGGTCTATTACAATGTATGATTTTATAAGCCTGGGGTGCGTTTCATAAAGAATCGTAAGTCTAAAACATAAGACTAAAGTAAGGACTGGAATAAAAATGCACTTAGGGGTGTTTTGAGAAACTCTCCTAACTATGGAATGCCGGTAGGGACATGCCAATTTGCTTATTTGCCAATTGCTGAATTGCTTATTTGCTAATTGTCGATTTGCCTATTTGCCAATGGCTGATAGGCTTAACGACAAATTTGCTTATTTGCCAATTGCTGAATTGCCAATTTGCTTATTTGTTAACCGCTGGTTTACGTATTTGCTTATTTGCCAATTGCTAATTTGCTTTTTTACAATAGAAATAGTTTACACTGTGCCGGAAGTATATGGAAAATCTGACTACAGACAACCAGTTGAGTCAGATCTGTTAACTTTTACCAACAGTATTCTTGTAAATTCAGTGTTTTTCCAAGAATACTGTTGGTCAATGAATTTAGTTGCAGTGATGCCTACGTAGATATATGTCTACAACTGATGGCTGACATGTCCTTGAGAACAAAGACGCTTGGGGGTCAGATCCCGTACCCCAACGTGATACGTGCCCCTGTAAACACTCTATTTAAAATATTTTAATATTTAAACACGAATTGGACATCGTTAAAACTTGTTTTCAAGCAATTTTTACATATACCGGTATGAAAAAATACCATATACCACCAAGTCTAAATAAAGTACTTAATGGTTTTATCGTTGTTATAGATGTCCAATTCGTATTTAAATAAATATTAAAATAGTTTTGATATAGTGTTTACAGATGCGTTTCACGTTAGGGGCAGGATCTGACCCGCCAGCATCTGTTCTTGAGAATGCCTTATAATGTGTTGCAGCTATACATCCTGTTTGTGCAGCTTAAGTCAGAGATTGATGGCATGATAAACACTTGATTAGTCATATATAAGTGAAAATTATTGGGTAAAGATTGAAAATAAAAGAACTTGAAAACAAAACTATTTCTTATTTTATGGCATATAAAATGTCGTTATTCTCAGCAGATTTGTCACGGAGGGCCTCATTTTAGTGGTACGAACACATATAGTATCACGAATGATACACTTGGTGCATGTTAAACACGGGTGTTTGTCTTTGCACTTAAGCAATAGGCTTCGTTTTTAGCTCTGTAAGATTTTGAGATCACTTATGTCTGTGTGTCCATCAACATTTTGCTTTGGTTCAATGTTTTTGAAATTTGGTCACACTTTTCCATTTCTTCATGTTGTACATTTTACATGCCATCAGGTGACCATGACCATGATCATGACCTAGGGTATAATGGACAAAGCCTCTTTGAATATTGTGTATGCATGCTGCCTATTTAATGCTTATGTGAAGTTACAGTTAGATATAAGCAATAGTAACAGAGATATGACAGAAAAACAAAGGCTTCTCAGTACAATACATTGGTGACCTTGACATTCAGTATATAACGGGCACAGCTTTTTCGTGTACTTTGTATGCATGCTTGTAACGCAAAGTTTATGCAAAGTTGCAGTAAGATGCATATGAATCAGCAAAAGTAACAGAGATATGACAGAAAAACAAGTTACCAAGAAAACCAATGCATTGGTGGGTAGAATAGCATCCCTATTCTCTGAATAGTGGAGCTAAAACTGAAACTCAAGATAATTAAAAAAAACAACTACTTTCTGAAACTGAATTTATTTTTTTCGAAACTGATTAAAATGTATCCATCTGTCTTTCTACCTATATTCTAGGTAATGATGGATTGATCATAATTGTCACAAGTTATAATTAACAAAACTTTATAAACATAATAACATGATATACAAATGTAGGTTCATGAGCTTGAAATAAAGTCTACAAAGACTTGTTATTTTATATCAAACAAGAACTTCGCGAGTCGGACGTGTCGCCTTACAATAGCATAAAAAATTATGTATATAAGCAAATAAGCAATGAGCAAATAAGCAAATTGGCAAATAAGCAAATTGGCAAATCAGCAATTAGCAAATAAGCAATTAAGTAGTTGGCAAATAAGCAAAGTGGCATGTCCCTACCGGCATTCCATACCTAACTCTTGTACTTTTACTTTTAAGACGAAATCTTCCTAATTGAGATTTAAATAATTGCTTGTGTCTTATCCTGCAATAAGTTAGTGTAGAATGGCAGTTGTTAAAGCAGACACTGGTAATATATATAAATGGTGTATAATTTACATTTATTCATTAATATTTCTTATCTATTGTCTTTCTTCATAAATATCATTAATGTTCTAATGTAAATCTAAAGGGACTCATATTTTTTGAGTATCTTTTATTATTATTCTTAAAGTGCATATTGCACACATGATTCTTGAAAATATGTTTCATATTTTACTCAAACAAAAAAAACCCAAAAAATTCTTAATATATAGGAAATCAATCTCAATTTTGAGTAAATGGGCATAGCATAATGCGCATTCTGAGTTCAAATGCGCAGGAATGTAATAACTAAGGTTGGTAGGCCTTAATTAATTCATTACAAAACATTTGAGTGATTAACCATGCATTATTTTACTGCAACATAAGAAAAATAATTTATATTTTCATCAAAATAATCGATAAAAACATTTTCTATTATACATGAAGTTATTTTTATGACGTCATTTGGTTGATTGACATCATATCTGACTTTATATGATGTGTTATCCTTCCATTTTTTATGCCATGCATATATCATGTGGATCTAATAATGCACTTGACTGCCTTATCTGTTAAGAGGGGAATAATGTGAAGCGTGTTTGAATTTTATGTAAATTAAAAAAAAAATTGAATCTTTAAAATAAAACATACGCCAAACTAAGTCCGGCAAAGCCATATCAGTCACATTGTTAGTCACAAACTATGAGTGTTACGGATTTTCTTTCTCTTATTACACCGATCATTACACTGGTTAGGAAAAATTAACATGTTTATTTTAACAAAAGTTTGATTTACCTTAAAAGTATTTAATTAAGTCATATAAAAATAACCAAAACTTATCATACTTTATATTAAATCAGTGTAATAACAAGTACAAATGTTGCTGCAATGCAGCAATTGAGAATCTCCGCGCACAAAATGCGCTCATTACAGATACCTTACCAAATTATTATTACGCACAGGTCATGTTATATTCAGATTAAGTACTATTGTAGATTTTTTCCGAAAGTTTTGTAAACCATTTTTTGCATAATTATACTTATCTTATGCACTGTCTATAATTGAAAAGAGGGGAAAGATATTTAATATAAAAAATGCTTTCAATGATGCCTACCTGGTAAGGAAAGTAATTCCATTGAATACAAACAAGACATACAAGACTTGTAAATGTTATGTGACATTACTGTACTGTGTTCTGTTTGTGTCACTACTGTAGTCAGTAACATAAGATGATAAAAATATCAAAGTCTGTTTTTTTATTATAATTGTAACAAATATACAAATAGTAACAAAGGGGACTAATATTAAAATATAGTAATATTATGTGCATTTTTTCATGTCAAATTAAAAAAATGGTTTCTTTGAATACTGAAAGTAGAACACACTCTGGAATGAAAAAATGGGATGAATTTCAAAAAGACCAAATTCAGGAGTTTTTGTTTGTTATTCACGCGTTACATGGTGATACAGTATTTATCAATATAATAGATGACTGTTTTAGGCAGGTATGAGGAAATTCACTAACATCATGTTCGTGGAGTCAAAGATATAAAAGCTATTTGACATTGGTGATATATAAAAAAACTATTGTTAATTGATTAATTGGGAGATCAATATAATTTTTGATGAATTGCTTGAAAACCTTTCATAAAAAACATTTCACTTCATGTTCAAACTGCAAATCAAAGTTTCTGTTATCAATGATGTTATCTATCTATAGCCTATGCTTAATGAGGGTCCATCCGCTCGTAAGGCCACAAAATGCAGCTTTCGCTGTCGAGTACGGACCCCGGACGTGTCACCAGTCATACCTTTAAAGAGTTAAAGTGGTATGCAATTCCAATGACGCCAATGACGCCAATGAAATGTTACCTTATATACTAAAGTTTGTTATTTCCCTTTTTCAGTAGTACATGCAATTATAATTTGTTACATTTTGAATTACATTTACACACAGTATACTATACATGTAAGTGATTGAATATGTCAATATAAAGAAAATTTCAGGCAAAAGACTTAAATAATATTGCTTTTGATAATTATTCTTAACTTATATTTATGAAACTAAATGTTTAATAATTACATCTTGATATATTGGTTGTTTTGAAATATTATAACTTTAGTATATAAAGTACATTTCATTAGTATTATTTGTAATGCACGGAGGTAAATCATCAACACTTTGTGCTTCAAAAGTAACTCTTCAAGGGCATGACTGGTGACCGGGGTCCGTACTCGACAGCGAAAGCTGCATTTTATGCCCGTACAGCGGATGGGCCCTAATGAAGCATAGAATATACCGGTAGATAGATATAGATCGCATCATTGGTAACAACAATACTTTGATCTGCAGTTTGAACATGAGGTGTATTGTTTTTTAGCCCCCTACCAGTTTACCGGAGGGGACTTTAAGTTTACCCTCCGCCCGTCTGTCCGTCCGTCCATAAAACTGTATGTTGAAAATTCTGGTTGCTACGGCAACACATAGACTGAAAATATGGCAAACTTTACACATAACCTGGATTCAGTGATAACGCAAAAAGTACTGGAAATATTTTTATGAAACTTGAAATATGGGTAGATTGCAGTCTGGAGATAATGCACATCCTTTTCCTTTCTTCCTATGTTGAAGATTCTGGTTGCTATGGCAACAAATAGACTGAACTTCAAGATTTCTGATTCTAGTTTTTACGTTTCTTCACTATAAGTTCTTTATTTCTTAAGGTATTTTCTTCAAACTTTAAATATAATTCTTGTCATCAACCACATCATATGTGACAAGGTTTACAACTCTAGCACAAAATTTATCAGAATTTCCTCTCTTGAACTTAGAATTTTTATTAAAAAAATTGATTTTTTATAACTTCTTTTTTTCTGAATGTATCTACTTCAAACTTCATATATGTGTTTCTTATTATCACTCATCATTTGTGAGAAAGTTCAATACTCTAGCAAGACCATTTCCAGAATTATGCCTCTTTTGAACTTTTTCGAGAAATTGGTAATTTTTACTCCAAATTCTTTAATCATTATAGGATTTTCCTCAAACTCTTACATCATAATATGACAAGGTTTATAAATCTAGCATCCATATTTCCAGAGTTATCTCCTCCTTAAACTTTGAATGTTTCTTATTCATTCTTTTAACTTTCTTTTACTTTGAATTCAAAATAAACATTCATTATCAACACCTACATTACTTATTGTTCTTTGTTACACTCACATCATGTAAGACGACTTGCATCTTTATTTCAAGAGTTATCTCCCTTTTAAGAATTTTGCTTTTAAAAATGTTACATTTTGTTAACAGGGATGTTTAAAAAAACTTTAGAGTGTCCTCCAGTCCGTCTGTCTGTCTGTACATAAAAACTGTTTCCTGTGATCACTTTTAAAGAACTTTTTCAACAAATTTACTTAAAATAGAAACGTAAGTGAATGGCCATTGGCCTTCAGAATGTTGCTGGGATTCTAACCGGTAGGGGACTTATGGATTGCTTGCAATACTATAATTATTTCTTATTTTTATGAATGATTTTAAAGCAATTCAGCAAAAAAGTGTATTGATCTCCCAATAAATCAATTAATAATAGGTTTTTATTATCACCAATGTCAAGTAGCTTTTATATATTTGACTCGCATAGTAAATTTCCTCATACGGTAACAGTCTTCTATCAGTATTGAAAGAAATTTTTTTTATAATTTGACTTGAAAAAATGCATGTAATACTACTATATTATAACATTAGTCACTTTTGTTACTATTTGTATATTTGTTACAATTATAATAATAAAAAAAACAGACTTTGATATTTTTATCATCTTATGTTAATGACTTCAGTAGTGACACAAACAGAACACAGTACAGGCATGTCACATAACATTTACAAGTCTTTTAAGTCTTGTTTGTATTAAATGGAATTACTTTCCTTACAAGGTAGGCATCAGTGAAAGCATTCTTTTCAAATTAAATATCTGGCCCCTCTTAATTAAGGACAGTGGATAAGATAAGTATAATTATGCAAAAAAGGATTTACAAAGCATTTGGAAAAAAATCTACAATAGTACTTAATCTGAATATAACATGACCTGTGCGTAGGAATAATTTGGTAAGGTATCTGTAGTGAGCGCATTTTTTGCGCGGAGATTCTCAATTGCTGCATTGCAGCAACATTTGTACTTGTAGCTATTTATAGCTTTCGAATTCATGTAAAGTAGAACTGCTTTCCGGTTCTAATTCATTAATATGACATGCTACGAATCACCGAAGGGGAAACCAATATAGAAATCGAAAGGAGTTCTTGAATGCGGATTTATTTTTAGCTGTAAATCGAAGGGATTAATTGATCAAATCCGGGTCCATGGACAAAAAAAGCTCCGCGCCTGTGGTCGCGGAGCAATAACATTGACAAAATTTACTATTGTTAAATGTATTTAAATAACCATTTCTTCACTTATGTCCACCTTTTTTACGTTTATATCTATATCAGACAGTTTAAAAAGAGCTGCAATGTTTTAAGCACTTGCTTTTGTATTCATGACACAAGACAAAAGTTAGGAGTGCCTTGAGGCACCAAAAGGAATATTCCTTAGTTCAGTCTTAAAATTGTACTTAGGACTTTTCTTGAAAAACAGTTTTATCTCAGTTTTGCATTAACGACTAAAATCGGTCCTAAGATTCTCTATGAAATACACCCCTGACTATTTCAGAGAAAAAAAATATTCCTACAGTTATGTTGTTGATGGTGCCGTTGCCAATGCTGTTGTCATCCGAAAACTTAAATATTGTTCTTTTAAAATTTAAATTTCTCTTTTGATTGTTTTCATTCTTCTACTCAACAATCCTTTGGACAAGACCGTCAAGTTGACTTGACTGAATTTGACCCTTACTCAAAAATGAGTTTGACCTTAAAGCTCAAGTATTTTGCATGATTCGAGCTATTGATGGCTATAACTTTTTTTATTTATTTATGTAATGACGTTATTCTTGGACATAATAATCCTTAGGACAAGACCTTTATGTAGATTGAATAGATTATGACCTTCACTCATCAGTGACTTTGACCTTGAAGGTTATTGAACTTTGCTTGTTTTTCTTGTTTTCTGCTATAAATGTGTTTTTGTGCCCTACCTGTTTATCCGGAGGGGACTTACAGTTGACCCTTGGTCCGTCTGTCTGTCCGTCTGTCTGTCTGACTGTCCGTCCGTCCGACCGTCTGTCTGCATTAAGATTGTTCGCCCTTTACAAGTCAAATTTGGGATTTCAACTAAACTTTAATGGAGTGATCAGTACCATGCCAAGTTGTGTAGTTAACTGACACGTTCCGCTTCGCTGCACACAATGACATCCAGTGCTAAATTAAGAAAAAGCTTCTCTGGCCTTTACAGGTCAAAGTACAGTTGGGATTTCATCCACATTTTACAGGAGTGAGCAATACCATCCCTAGTTGTGCACAATACTGGCACGTTCTGATCCATTGCACAAAATGGCCACCTGAGCTAATAATAGAAAATATTTGTCCGACACGTCAAACTACTAGTCGGAATTCAGTCAAACTTTACAGGAGTGATCAGTTCCATCCCAAGTTGTGAATATCGCCGGCACGTTCTGCTTTGCTGCACAAAATGGCCGCCAGAGATAAAAAAATTGTCTGGCTTTCACAGGTCAAAACTACTGGTGGGATTTCGACCAAACTTTACAGAAGTGGTCAGTACCACCCTTATTTGTCCACATCGCCAGCACGTTATGCTTCGCTACATAAAATGGCCTACAGAGCTTAAAAAAGAAAATAAATCTTGTCCAGCTTTCACATGTCAAATTGCTGGTTGGATTTCAACCAATCAATGCAGGGGTGATCAGTACCATCCCTAGTTGTGCATATCACCAGTTGTATTATTTCCTCACTTAAACAAAATTGTCGCGAGAATTAATAATAGAAAAAGCTTGTCCAGCTTTCACATGTCAAACTGCCGATGGGATTTAAGCCAAACTTCACAGGAGTGATCACTATTATTCCTAGTTGTGCATGTCGCCGCACGTTCTGCTTCGCTGCACAAAATGGCTGCCAGAGTTAAAAATAGTAAACATCTTGTCTGGCTTTCACAGCTAGAACTGCTGGTTGGATTTCAATGAAACTTCACAGGGATAAACATTACTATCCCTTGATGTGCATATCGCCAGCATGTTCCGCTTCACTGAACTGAATGGTCGCAAAAGGTATAAATAGAAAAAAATCCAGATCAAGGTTAAACTGCCGGTGGCATTTCAATGAAACTTCACATGAGTGATTATTACCATCCCTAGTTGTGCATATTGCCGGCATGTTAGGGTTTGCTGCACAAAATAAATGAAACGCTAAAAACAGAATAATCCAGTCCGGCTATCACAGGTTAAACTGCTGGCGGGATTTTCACCAACATTCAAAGGAGTGAACATATATAGTAAAGGGAGACATATGTTTTTGTGACAAAAGCTCCTTTAGTTCACCTATGATTTAGACTTTTTTTTAAAATTATTCTCAAATGTTATAGAATGAAGGCATCACCTATTCTCAATTTTGACAATTTGTGCATTTTGATATGAAAATCCCTTAAAATTTGAATGAACTTTTCAAAATTCAAAAGAGGCCAATTACATTTTACAACTACAGTAACAGCAAGTGAAAGATTAATTTTTTATCTTATTTCTATTTTAGAAGCCTCAAGCAGAGGCTATATCTCCCACACTGCCACCTGAGAACAAAGAAGTTCAGAAAGTTAAAGATGAATTGTTACAGAATATCTGTAGGATAGACAGAGAGATTGCTCTTATAGAACAGCAGATTCAGATGAAGAAAAAAAAGAAACAGGTATAGGGTATAATAACTGACTTTATGTTGGCATAAGGATTTAACTGCTGATTACCATGTTATAGGATTTTATAGCGGACTTTATGATAGTATAGGAATTTACGGCTGATATATGATTGTATAGCGTTTGTATAGGGTTTTATTACTGACTTCATGATTTTATAGGGGTTGAAAAGGGGTTTTATAACTGACTTTATAGTAGAGGTTTTAAAGTTGGTTGTGTAATGGTATAAGGGTATAATAGCTGACTTTATGATTATGCAAGGGAGAATGGCTGACTTTATCATGATATAAGGGTTTAAATATGACTATATGATGCAATAAGAGGTAAATAACTGCATTTATGATGTTATAAGGGTTTTATATGTAACTATGATGGCACTGGGTTTATAAGTGACCTTATGATGGTGAATGAGTCTGTTGCCGATTTGTGTTGGTAAAGTGGTTTATAGCTGACTTTTTGATAGTTTGAGGCTTTTATAACTGACTTTCTGAGAGTATAAATTTTTAGAAGAAAGTATAAAAAGTTTTTTTTTGTTTTTTTTTATGTACAGAAAAAAAATGGAGTAGTAAAGATTCTTTTTTAAACACCCGTTTAATTAACTGGTCGTATTATAGCGAGCGGCGTCCATTTTTTGTACGGAGCATATCTCCTACAAATGAAGGAATTTTAAAAAAACTTCATTGAAATGTTCACCATGAGCCAGGTCAAAGGTCAAGGTAACACTTAGAGGTCATTGAAAAACCATTTTCCGGAGCAAAGCTTCTACATGTATATATGGATTTCAATATAACTTGGCACCAATATTCACCATTGATAGGCGGAGTGCTGCGTGCAAAATTCAGAGACGAACTTCTTTATTCATCAGGGGGTTTTAATGTTACTTTGCACAAATGTTCACCGTTGTGAGGCTTATTGTGCACATATAATCAGATCCCTGCTACCAAAGTCATTGTCACATAGAGAGGTCAGTCTGTCTACGGGGACCATTTAGTCAGCATTTATTGATGGGTGGTAACACAAATGATCATGACGGCAAGTGTGACACATGTAATTAAGGTCATATTTGCAATGTCAAGGTAACTAGAGTTGATAAAATATCCAGATATTTTCCAGATATTGCCCAAAGCATATCTCCTATATGCATATCTATAATGCCTACATCTCTGTCGAAAGCATTTGTGACGGGCGTATTTTTCGACAATTTTGCCCTTGTTTTCTTATTTGTTACCATAGCTTCAAGAAGAAGCAGCTAGCAGGTGCAAGGAGTTCCTAGAATCAGAAGAAGTACCAGACATGAAACAGAGTACTGCTGAGTTCATATATGCAGTAAACAGAGTGAGTTTGATAGTGTTCTATCAAGATATATATAATTATATACAGATTATATATATATATATATATATATATATATATGAAAATATTCATCTTGAATTATTTAGAGTCTAGTTTGCTCAATTTGACGAGTGTTGGACTTTGAATCGGTGGCCTTTCTTCAATTCTCAGTGAATGTCACTTTAGCTATGATTTTTCGAGAAATCTTTTCTATGATCATTCACACTGTACCTCGTACTTCTGCTCCGGCATGTAAAGAAGTGTATCAGCTCCTTACGAAAGTGAAATCACTGGTACGGGTAAATTGCTTGACAACCTGCCCAGGAATGGTGAAGTGTCTGAACTGTGCTCTGATGAATTTAAGGTGGCTCAGTGCTGTGATTAGGAGGGGAAACTACAAAAGCAACTACCTTAAATTATCTTGAATAATTTATGATGAAATCAATTTATGGTAAAATCGATAAATATGTTTAGATATGGGATATATATGTAGACTACCTATGCTTTTTTCATTCCATTTTGAGATGATTCAATTGTTTTAATTTGACAAAACCACGTGTATCGTAGGTCTTTTAGCCACATTTATTCAAATTTGTTTTGTTGATTAATCCTAAAGAAAAAAAGATATATTCGTATCTTTGTCAATTAACAAAGTGTTATTTTGTTTGTCTTTTTTAGAAAAATGCCTCAGTAACAAATAATATTCTATCAAAGATGGGACCTAAAGTGGATCTGGTATGTATGTTTTTAGCTCACCTGTCACAAAGTGACATGGCGAGCTTTTGCGATCGCTTTTCGTCCGGCGTCAGGCCGTCCGTCAGTCCATCCGTCCGTATTTTTTTTACTTTAAACGACATCTCCTCATAAACCGCTGAGCCAATTTCATCCAAATTTCACAGGAATGATCCTTCGGTAGTCAACTTAAAAATTGTTCAAAGAATTTAATTCCATGCAGAATTCTGGTTGCCATGGCAACCGAAAAACTATCTTATTTTAAAAAAACCGAAAGAGCTTGAGTTGAAATATTTGGCATGAAACATCGACTAGTCAGTGTCTACCAAGTTTTTCAATAAAAGCCCGGGGATCAAAATTGACCCCGCCCCGGGGATCATTGCTTTTCCTTGTATGTGTAGAGTAAAAACTTATATTTATAACCCAAAGAGCTAGACTTTAGCTACTAAGTATGAAATATCTTCTTGTGGGTGTCTACCAAGTTTATTCAAATTAAAGCCCTGGGGTAAAAATTGGCCCTGCACGGGGAGTCATACTTTTTCCCTATCTGTTTATAGTAAAACTTAAAAAATCTTCTTTTAAACCCCAAAGAGCTAGAGCTTAGATATTTATCATGAAACATCTTCTAATGGGTGTCTACCAAGTTTGTTCAAATAAAAGCTCTTAGGTTAAAATTTGCCCCATCCCGGTGCCATATATACAGGGACGCGATTTCAGGGGCATCATGACCCTCTTGTTTTTAACAACCATCTTTTGCTTTATGTTGAAAATCTTGTAGTATCTCATGTTGACTTTCTTCTCTGAAAAGTGATATATACATGACATAACAGTGTCAATACGACTTAATTCTAAACCTGCTTCCAACAGGTTTTATCCATTGACCAGTGCTGAGCAAGATCAGTGCCATCTACAGTATTCACGGTCACTATTTAATCAGTACATATTTTGAAATTGTCCATTGAAAATGATAAATGGTTCTGTCTGGATTGAAAGTCCATTTACATGTAAGATTAATTAGCATGTTTAGGGTAAAGATCGACAAAACAAATGAAATGTTAAAAATCATTATGTAACTGAATTGAAACGATTTTGAAATAAAATACACTTATTTAACACAGTGTGTTGTTTAGAGATACAGTAACGTAAAAATTAAAAAACAAAAAAATATTCATCTACCCCTTGTAATGCTAGAATCACTTGCCTAGGCCACCACAGTGGCACCAATACAGAAACAGGTCAGAATTTTGATATCAAAATGAATGGTTAGTAGTTCCACACAGTTGCCTGAGAGGCTGTTGAGAAGCTCTTTATTCACCAGTAAAGCTTGAAATGTACGAAAGGCTCTTCACTGTGTGGCTTTGAACTAAGAAACCTTTAGAAAACGACCCAAAATAAATTAATAAAAATGTACAAATCTAGAACCAGTAGCCCTCCACAGAAGCAGCAGGTTAGAATCCTGTCAGGGACATTAGTTTTTTTCATGGGAGGATGATATCCAGCCAGCTGACTGATTGTTGGTGGTTCTACTTGCCTGATCATACCTGAAGTAATGCACAGAGGAGCACCTGAGGTCTACCTCTACAAGCAAGGCTAGAAAGTCGCCATTTTATCTCTATAGTGTTGGTGTGATGGAAAATCCAAAGAAAGAAAAGTAATAATTTAGCATGGAAAATATTATGTAATATTTTCTTCTTTATTACAGCCCCTGTATAAACAACCATCTGATGCTCCTATATACCATGACAACAAACGAAAGTAAGTTCTTATAATATATCTTAACTAAACCATATAAAATTCTTACACCAGTTTGCCAGTACCCACCGGAATAATTATCTAGTGTAAGGGTAATCGTTTACACACATACGCATTTCATCCATAAAAGGTGCAAGTGATTGGCGTTATTTAAAGGATGCTACATGTCTTATGGGGGCGGGGTGGAGACTTGTATAAGATGAGGTGTTTTATAGCACCTTTGTAAATAGTAGTTAATCCTGTCAGATATGGAAATATTTCTAAACTTAAAGCCCAAAGAAAATGAACTTAGATTTAGAAATGCATTTTATTTTATAGTCTTAACTAAACATTTGTGTAGTAAAAATATTACATGAAACAAAACCATAAATTAAAGACTGTTTCTGACACAGTGTTTTTTGCTGACAAAGAATTACTGACTAAAACAATGATAATGGAACTTCTAATAATCTTTCAGTACTTAATGTTTTCTTATTGATAATTATTGATATTGTCTAATTTTTTTATGCTCCCCTTTGAAGAGGAGGGTGTATATTGTTTTGCTAATGTCGGTTGGTATGTCGGTCGGTCGATCTGTCCGTCGGTAGACCTCATGCTTTCCGCTGATTATCTTGAAAACTTTTTATCAAAAAGACACCATATTTCAAATTGTGATTGGTCATAACAAGAAGATTTCCCCCTATTAAATTTGGGTCACTAGGTTAATTGTCAATGTCTCAGGGGTCTTAAATGTCAGAATGAATTCCGCTAATTATCTTGTAAAATATTCATCACAAAGTCTTCATACTTCACATAGTAATTAGTCATAACTAGCAAATTGATAGAGTTTGGGGTCACTAGTGCAAAGGTCAAGGGCACAAGGGCCTTTAGTGTAAGAATTGTTTTCACTCATTGTTTTGAAAACTATTTATTACCGAGTCTCTATAGTTAAGATACTGATTGGTAATAACATTTAGATTTTTTCTTTAGATTTTGGGGTAACTAGGTCAAATGTCAAGGTCACAGGGGCCTTAAATGTCAGAGTGGTTTCTGCTGATTATCTTGAAAACTATTTATCACAAATTCTTCAAAGTTCACATACTGATTAGTCATTACTTTTATATTTCCCTTTTGATTCCGGGGTCACTTATTCAAAGGTCAAGGTCACAGGGGTCTTAAATGTCAGAATGGTTTCTGCTGATAATCTTGAAAATTATTCTTCACAAAGTCTTCATATTTTACTTACTAGTAGACATAACAATTAGATGACACCTATCGAATTTTTGGGTCACTTGGTTAAATGTCAAGGTCACAGGGGCCTTAAATGTAAGAATGATATCCGCTTATTATCTTGAGAGTTAGTTTTCACAAAGTCTTCATTTTCACATACTGATTAGTCATAATTAGTCAATGACCCCTATTGATTTTTGGGTCATTGTGTTAAAGGTCAAAGTCACAGGGGCCTTGAATTCTAGCATGGTTTCCGCTCATTATCTTAAAAGGTGTATACCACAAAGTCTTCATATTTCACATATTGATTGGTCATAACTATTAGAAGACTCCTGTTGATTCTGGTATAACTAGGTTAAGGTCAAGGTCACAGGGGCCTTAATTGTAAATATGGTTTCTGCTTATTACCTTGAAAACGTTTCATCACAAAGCGTCATGTTGGGGAAAAAAGTCATGTAACTGACATTTTTGGATAATAAGACTTTTTTTGCATTTTTTGGAAAAAATATACCATTTATTAAATATTTTTGTTGCATTCACTTGAAAAATGCATTTTTTCCCAAAAAATACAAATGCTGTAACATCAAGGCTTTTTTATTTGGTGCAAAAACTGATGTAAGTTCACTTACTTTAGTTTTTGCACCAATTTGTTTTAAACTCTTGACGCAAAAAGTACTGTAACTGCACTTACCATACTTTTTGCATTAAATGATTTTAACCTTTTTAATTATTATATTTCTTACTCCATATAATATCATATAAAAACATTTACAAAAATTGAAATTCTGAGTTAAGATAATTAAATTGATACATTAAACAGGAATGATACAGAATTACCATTTTATGACATAAACACAGCTCTTTGTCTGATTCGTGAGACTAACCCAACAGGGATTATTATATCTCTTGGTTCCCATTCTTCGTCATATTCCTCAGCCATTATATGGGATGAACAACATTATTATGTTTTTGATCCCCACAGTAGGAATGAATGTGGCATGATGTATGCAGATGGTAAAGCCACATTAACAGTACACAAAAATGTTGCTGCTTTATGTCTTCAATTGAAACATCTTTGTGCTTTAATATTAAAAATGGGAATGAACCCTTTGAACTTTGTGGTGTCAATTTGTTTGAAGACATCCCAAATTAGGGATCTGATTTTGAAACTTCTTCGGAGTCTGGGTCTGACTTTTCTGGTTTTGATCCTGTAAGTGACAGTGAATTGATATTGCTTTAAGAGAAATTACATGAAAATGACAATTCTAGTGAAACTGAATTAGATGAAAGCAGCTGGTCAAACTTTTCAGATTTAATTGATGAAACTTTGGCATCTCAGTCTTTGTTAGATGACTCAACATTGTGCCTAGATGAAACTGTATTAAACAATATTACTATAATAGTAGAAGAACAGACTGAACCGTGTGTAAATGATGCTGCTAATGCTCAAGAGTCTACAAATGATATAAACATTAATACAAGAAAAAGGATGTCACGTAAACGTGTTAGAGATGAATCAAATTGGAAACGAAATGTACTAAAGTGCAAAAAAAACACTGGCCAAAGTTATGAAACAGCAAGTGGCAGTATAAAAAGACCCAGGATTGTCAAAAATGGTTGTGGTTTTAATTGTAGAAAGAAATGTCATTCAAAAATAATGCTGGATGAAAGAGAAAAGATATTTCACCACTTTTGGTCAACTGGCAGCTATGAAAAACAAAAAGAATTTATTGGTCATACTATTTTAGAAGTGCCAAGAAAGAGAATTTTAAACAAAACTGACAGTAGAAGAAGGATTTCAAGGCAACACTTTTTTTCAAATGCATGGACATAAAATACAAGTTTGTAAGCAGTACTATCTAGACACTTTAGATATAAGTGAGGCAGTAGCATACGGTGCTTTTAGTAAAAAATGTGCATATGGTAGTATAAAATCAAAATACCAAAGAGGAAGGCACAAAAACAGACAAAACAAAATACCACATGAAATTGTATCAGATATAAAGCAACACATTGCAAGTTTCCCAAGAGTTGAATCCCATTATTGTAGGAAAAGCTCAAATAAAGAATATCTTGAAGCTGATTTAAATCTGTCTAAACTTTATGATCTATACAAAGAGAAATGTTGTATGAACAAATATGTTCCCTAGTCAATCCATACACATTTTCAACACGCAGTTTAACATAGCATTTAATAAGCCACTAAAAGACCAGTGTGACATATGCAGTGCTATCAAAAATATTAATGAAAATAAAAAGAAAAATCAATGCCAAATTTTAAGATTGAACGACATATACAAAACAAAAATCTAGCCAGAAAAGGAAAAGAGGCAGATAAATCATTTGCAAAATCTAATGAATCCTTTGTAGCTGCTTGTTTTGACTTACAGCAGGTATTTACACTGCCTAAATCTTTTCAAGGGCGACTTTACTATGCTAGAAAACTAAACAACTATAATTTGACAATTTACAGTCTAGTCCAATAGTGATGCTTACTGTTACATCTGGAATGAGACTTTGGCAAATCGTGGTTCGAATGAAATTTCCTCTTGTGTGTTTGACTTTTTCAAAAAAATGCCAACCAAATGTGTCAAATCTATTACTACTTACTATGATAATTGCCCCGGCCAAAATCGCTACAGATACTTTGCTGCCATGCTTTGGTAAAGATATAAAACTTTGAAACTTAAAACTGTAAAACACAAGTTCCTTGAGAAATGACGCACTCAAAATGAAAATGATTCGGTACATTCAAATATAGAGCAAGCCTGCAAGAAATTTTAATTATATACGACAGCACAATTTGCTACAACTGTACAGATGGCTCACAGAAAGCATCCATATAGTGTCACTGAGATGACAAAGAACAATTTCTTTGACTTTAAACTTATGGAAACAAATATATAAAAAATTTAGATATAGATGAAAACGGTAAGTAAATAAGATGGAAAGAAATTAGACACATTGAGTTTAATGATGAAAGTCCAGATTGTTTAATGGTTAAGTATGACTTTGATGGTGACACGCATTTTGTGAAGTTGAATCCAAACTTAAGGAATAATTCCAAAGAACCAAAACTGTTCGAACTTTTTCAAAATACAGATGGGCGAAAATTGTCCTGAGATAAATACAAAGACTTAGTTGAATTATATAGGAAAAATACTATTCCTGCAATCTATCATAGCTTTTATGAAGAGCTGCATCATATGAAATGATAATGATTATACTATTGACAGTAATCTAAGCATTAGTTTAAACATATTTATTTCCCTAATATTTACATGATATACTTTATACAATACAATCAGAATACAAATGTATAATATATTCAAAGAAAAGGATGAGAACAAAAGACTAAGTCTTAAAAAATTCTTCTCCTTTTAGTGTAACTTTATAATGAGTCGATTTTATAATATTTTGTACAATTATCAAAAAAGTGGAATGTAAATATTTGTGCCGAAGTAAACGTTATATTTATAAGTAATCATCGGGAAAAGAATTATAAATTATAATAACGAAAACAGAAGAGAGGAAAACAAATAATACAATAGGAAGAAAAAGGAAAGAAAGAGAAAAGAAAAAAAAAGATTGCTTCACTGTTTAATCTAAACATTTTCCTAGTATAAGAGTACACTTTCAATAAGAACTACAGGTTTATCATTGCATATTAAAAATATGTAGTTTTTTACAAGAAATGTTTGTGTGTCCACAAAAAATACCAACAATGTGTTAAATTATAATAAAAAAAATATTATGTTCATTTAAAGGTGCTTTATTGTGAGCAAACAAATATTATGTTCATTAAAAGGTGCGTTAAGCCATTACTCCTCAAGAAATACTCCTTAGTGTTAATTTACTTAAGCCGGCACTATTATTTGTGCAGCCTTACCAGGATCTACACTGTTTACTGATTATTTATTTTCTTATTTTGATGGCAAAACCTGCAGCTCGACTCAGACTACTCTTAAATTGAGTAGAACTAGTATTATCAGTTGAAGATAATGATAAAGATTTTGTACTGTTGTTATGTTGTATGTTGTAATTTAAACAATAATGATAGCAAATAAGCATAGTACTGTTATAGTTCTGTTATTTTATGTATAATAATCAAAGTTTTACATTTTTGCAGTTACTGTTACAATATTATATGTACATTAAATTTAAAAAAAACAATTGCTCTTTACTTGTCTCTCAATTATATTTATGAATTGAACTTTTAAAAAAAATTAAGTTGAAAGCAAAAAAAAAATATTTTCTAAAGGATTCAGCGAATTTGGGTGCAAAAACTTGTGTAACTACACTTACATGACTTATTGCACATAAAAATGTCAGCGCAAAAAGTCATGTAACTGAAATATAACATCAAATATCTTTAAAGCAATATTTTAAACTTTTTCTGTTAATAAACCATTCTAACAGAAAAATTTAAATATGTATAAAATCAATTAAAATTGAAATATGTTATTTAATGGATATTAGAAAAATAGTTTTTTGATTCTATTGAACATTTTTTAAAATATAAGTTACAGTACTTTTTGCGCCAACATCACGAAATTCTTCATATTTCATATATTTATTTGTCATAATTGGGCCACTTGTTTAAAGGTCAAGGTCTTTATACTTCACATATTGATCGATTATAACTCTTTTGTCCAAAACTAAACACTTTCATGTACCCATTTATGGAACGTTTCTTTAACAAAATTACCAAAAATGTCAGTCAATGGCTAGAAAGGGGGTATGCGTCGTTCGACATTTCTTTTTTTTTTTCAGTTTTGCATTATTTAAGCCAAGACTTATTCTACACTTCAAGAAAAGACACCAGGCTAGAAAGATTAAAGTTTGTATTCCATCTATTTATGTTTATTTCTCATTATATGCCTGTTACCATTTGATTTTCTGCTTATAGACCTTTTTATGATGCGATCTGTTTCTATGAAAAATTGACCAGATGTAGTATTTTAGTAATTTCTCGCGGATTCGCAAGCTGCGAAGGGCAACAGGGCATCGCCCTACACAGAAATGAAAGTTCTTAAATATCTCCGAGTTAGTTAAAGTAAAAAGTATAAAATAATATATATTTATAAAGCTTTTTGCAAATACACAAAGATTTCCCATAGCTTGTTATAACTTTAAATTACATTTATTAAAGTCCTTAAAGCCACTGACCTCCAGATGGTAAAATGAAAAAAAGGAATAAAATTTCAAGTTAACAGTGAATACTGATCTAGCTAGGTTTATTGTATAAATTCATCATCACTGACACCTTATTTCAAGAAAGAATGTTGACAAAAGCGTTAATATATCGTTTTTTTCTTTTCCTTAATCTACTACGTTACTAACGCAGTAGCCAATATAAATAGGAGAAGATGATTCATTTAACGCGGTCACGTGTCACAACGGTGGTCCGGAAAAATTCCGGTATCCGGTATGCCCGGAACCTTTTATCAATTTTCGTCATTGAGTAGGCCCCTGTCACATTTCAAGCTAAAGGTAAAATCGATAAATAAGTAATCATATATATACATATATAGTTAATTAATTATAATTTTAAGGGCCTTGAATTACTACAAATATAGAAACAAAAGCAATTATTGTTTGATAAAATCCTGGATTCCGTTTGTTCGGAGCAAAAGTTGCGATATTGTCCTGTACGATCATGTGATACTAGAAAAAATCCAGATGAAAGAATAAAAGAAGGTATTTCCCGTTGGTGGAAAAGCGAACCGCTTGTTTTCAGAGCAATTATGTTAAAATATGAACATTTTGAAGTGTCATTTCGTTTTCTTTCAACAATATAATGTTTTTGAGGGGGGATTTTGAAATATTAGCAAGACGGCAGTTTTTCTGCTATCTTCTGGAGGTTAGCTGCTTTAAGTATAAAAATAGAAATAGAATATTGCCCATAAAATTCTGGATACTAGACCTCTAGTTAAGCAGTTACGTGCTTTAAAAATGCGTCTTGCAAACCATCGTACACCTAATACGATTATTTATCAATATAAATTTTTTAAGCTAATGGTTAATCTTTCTGATTACATCAAAACGTTTCTGAAATTGTTGATAACTGATATAATCTATTCTTTCATTATTGCTTTTTTGCCCTACGCAGAATACACATGCCCGTAATGCTACATCCGTTAGTATGGAGATATCGATCGTAGCGTGAAAAGGTCTATTACCATAATATGTTCCTGTTACCCTAATGATATGCCTATGACGTTAATACCATGCCTATTACCTTAATTAAATGCCCGTTCCCTTAATTATATTCCAAATACTTTAATTATATTATATACCTGATACTTTAACCTTTAACTTCATATAGACATGTTTTGGCGGCTTCTCGACCCCTCTCCCCTTTTTGTGGCCTCAAACCGTGAAAAATTACCATATATAGACCCAAAACACTGTTTTTTTTTGTTTTTTTTTTGGAAATGTTGCTAAAAAGGTGATTACTTTTTCGGCGCCGCCCCATATCAAAAAATACATCAGGGGTTTTGAAGGGGGCAGTAGCCCCCCTCATCGCCAAGAAAATTTTGGACTTGTGAGAGGCTAAAAATAACCCCAGGTCGATCTTAAGGTAATGTGTAACCAACGCTGAAAAGCGTTTGATTCTATCTCAATCCATTAAGAAATTGCAGCAATTTGAAGGAAAATATTAACGCAAAATAGTGATTTTTGGCAATTTTGAGAAGTCCACTTGTTGCCATGGTAACAGGAAATTTAGAACTGAGCATGTCGTTACAAAAATAATGATTCAGTCAATATTTGTGCCAAGTTTGATTATAATTGAAGCAGTTTTCATAGTTTCATAGCAGTTTGAACTTGTAACAGAAGGCTTTTCAATGAAAACTGCCATTTTATACAATATGCTCATGAGGGAAAAGGTTAATTTCATACCTGACTTTAGTTAATTATTTGACAGTTCCCCAAATGATATGCCTGTTTACTTTATTTGATGCCTATGACTTTACTTAAATTTTATGATGGTTCCCTGAATCATATGCCTATTACCTTAATAATATGCCTATACCTTAATGATATGCATGTTACCCTAATTGTATAGCTGTTATCTAATTGTATGCCCGGTACCTTGATTATATGCCTGTTACCTAAACCATATATTTGTTACCTTAATTGTTCGCCTGTTACCTAAATTAAATGTGTGTTACCTTAATTATACGCCTATAACCTCAAATATATGTATGTTACCTTAACAATATGCCTGATGCCTTAATGATATGCAAGCGACCTCTTGACTATATGCTGGTCACCTTAACTATATGCCTATTGTCTTAACTATATGTCTATTGTCTAAATTATATGCCTATTGTCTTAATTATTTAACTGAAACCAAGACTTGACTCTTATATACCTGTCTTACTTGATCATTTGAGTTTGTTTGGTAATGATTTGGTTAACTTTCATATTTCATAAGTCTATCACAATATATTTACAAACATAAAATTGGAAAATTAACTTTGTATAGCTATTTATTATATGCTTTTAATAATTCTAGGATGAAGAATGTTGCAATCTATATCTAGAGAAAATAGGGCGCATAACATTAACTTAAATTTTTATTTATGCTTCACTGACACACTAAGTTAATTTTTAAGCCCTTTCTACTCTTAGATTTGCCCTTGTGCACCCATCCGTCTTTTTGTCTGTATTCTGTCAAAACACTGCATATCTTGTTATTTTTCAGGAAATATATCTTGCACAAAGATATGATCAACTCATGCAAGCCTGGGTGAAGAAAGTTGAAAAATGGGAAAACAGCCCAAAGAAGAAGTAAGTTTTGCGGTTTTTTTTTCTTTCTCCAGAAAAACTTTTTTTCAGATAACTGATATATCTGTACATCTTTGTTTAGTTATTTTTCGAAAGTTTTTATCAACTATCTTTTACACATTTCATTTCTTTTTCTCGCTTTGAATTGTAAATCAAACGGAAAGATATGTGAAATGTACAAAATTTCATATCTTATGCTACATATGAAATATGTTTTCCTATCACATACTGTTTATATTTTCTCCAGAGCAAAAGATGCTAAATTGAGAGAGTACTTTGAAAAGGTTTTCCCGGAACTGAAGAGAGCTAGGGATGACAAAGAAAGATTGAGCAGGTATATACATAAGTTTAATTGTTATAAAACTTTATGTTAAAGCAGTAATGCTTTTTTGCTACTATAAACCCATACCAGCTTCCATTCAGTATTTCCCTTAGATGAAAGTGAAAAAATATAAAATAAATAAACAAAAATTTATCTGCTGTCAGTAATTTACAAAATTATTGTATGCATTTTGAAAAATATTTCTTTAAAAAAACGGTAGTTGAGAATATATTTGTATATTGTTTTTAAGCAACTGGCTTGGGCACAAAAAATAATCATAGCTAAACACTTAAAACCAAACTTTAAATTTAAGCATGAAATTTTGTTCCGGAAAATTTCATTTTATAAACATGAACATACAAAATTCATGTGTGTTAAATAGCAGAGACATTTAATGTCAGAACTTGCGAGAACCAACCATATGGTTATAAAACAACGGCATTATGTTCCATTTATTAATGTCATAAAAAGCTTTCATTTGATAAAGCTTTATACCCTTAAATGGACCTGTAACTTATGTCATACGTCCGGCTGCCTGGGTCAATAGAGAGAAGCATCAGATAAGTATAGTATTCAAGGGTCACTGGTTCAATTCTCGGTAAAGGCGTAAATATTCTCAGTTACATTTGATCTCAAACATTGAAACATCCGATTGTCATTTATCTCTCACTGCTGATTGAGAAATCATGTTGAATAAGTAGTTGGTCACCTGCGGAGAAATTTTATTTGTATGGTTAGTTATCCAGGTAAGCTGGTTAAGTGGATCAGCAGAGATGGTACCCGCACTGGTCTGCCTGTATATGCTAAGAATGATGCAAATGTTGAACAGATAATGGACGGCACTCATAAACAAGAGGTAAATAAAATCTTAAACTATTCCCATTTTTTGGCACATCTTGGTGCAGATTTGTGATGTCTCTTATTAAATTTTAAACTTTGCACTAAGGTGAAGATGTGTTGTATTATATTGATATTGATACCAATTTGTTTTGTTGTAAAAAGATATTACAATTGGTGCAAAAGAGCCTTTCTTTGAGTTTATAATGAATTGCAACGATATGTGTAAAATTGCACGAATTCTTCTTTGGAATTTATTTCTTTAAAACAAATACAGGCTTTTATGCATGCAATTTCTAGTTTGGGCAGCGTCAAAACATGTTTGTTTTGTAGTTTTTCATTTTCGGCAGTAAACTCATTATTATGCGTAGAGTAGGAACTAAATTTCTTGGTATCATAAATAGGCCAATCCACAAATTTGAGATCCATTGAAATATTTTGATTGCTGTATGATTAATTTCTAAAGCAGGTAATTCACAGTCGATCTAGTTGTATTTATTTCTTCAGCTTAAAATGACCATCAGAATGCTTAGAGGAATATGATAAATTATGTGATATTTACTGTATATGAGACATTATAATATATGTTCCTTCCCTTATACTATGTAACAGGAAGAAGATAGGAAGATGAGGAATCTAGCTGTCATACCCCCGATGATGGTAGGTCCTGGACAACGTAGCCTCAAGTTTGTCAACAAGAATGGACTGATCACAGATTGTATGAAGGAATACAAGGAAAGAAAATTCATCAATGTGTGGACGGCACAGGAGAAACAAATCTTTAAGGAGAAATATCTACAGCACCCAAAAAACTTTGGACTTATTGCATCGTTCCTTGAGAAAAAGGTAAATAATGTGACCGATTCCTTATATAAGTTTGATAGTAATCTTTAACAATTAAACAGTTAATACATTTGAGGATTTGAAGCACATCACTTTTTGATTTTGCCCCAATGTGGGGGGATTTAGATTTACCCTTGTCTGTCCGTCCGTCCTTCCGTCCGTCCGTCCATCCATCCGTCCGTCCGTTCGATCTCTTTTTGTGTCGCACGTAGCTCAAAAAGTAATTGACCTAGAGTCCTGAAACCTTCCAGGAATTTTGAACAGCATGTGAAGTTGTGCACCTGGGTATGTTCGTGTGGATATTTTAGTATGTTTAGAATTATTGCCCTTGACTTAGTAAAAATTTGCAATTTTCAACTTATGTCGCACGTAACTCAAAAAAAAATTTGACCTAGAGTCATGAAACCTTCTGGAATGTTGCTCAGCATGTGAAGGTTTATCTGGGTATTTTTGATTGGATATTTTAAGTATTTTAGAGTTATTGCCCTTGACTTAGTAAAAATTACCAATTTTCAACTTGTGTCGCACTTAACTTAAAACGTATTTGACCTAGAATCATGAAACCTTACAAGAATGTTGCTCAGTATGTAATGTTGTGCACCTGTGTATATTTGTGTTGATGTTTTTAGTATTTTTAGAGTAATTGCCCTTGACTAAGTAAAAATTTCCTATTTTCAACTTGTGACGCACGTAACTCAAAAAATATTTGACCTAGAGTGATGAAACCTTACAGGCATGTTGATCAGCATGTGTAGTTGTGCACCTTGGTATTTTCGTGTCGATATTTTTTATTATTTTTAGAGTTATTGCCCTTGACTTAGTAATAATTTCCAATTTTCAACTTCTGTTGCACGTAACTCAAAATATATTTGACCTATAGTCATGAAACCTTACAGGAATGTTGATCAGCATATGTAATTGTGCACCTTGGTATTTGTGTGTGGATATATTTAGTATTTTTAGAGTTGCTCTTGAATAAGTAAAAATTTACAATATTCAACGTGTTGCACTTAACTCAAAACGTATTTGACCTGTAGGCCTGAAAGTTTACAGGAGTGTTGGTCACAATGTGTAGTAGTGCACCTTGGGGTTTTCTTGTGGATTTATTCAGTATTTATTGTATTTGCAATGCTTTTTTCACAGGTTAGGGAAGCAGCACAGCCCTTAATTTTGGGGGAAAATTACACAGTACATTTGCAAAAGGGGAAGAATAAAATTGATGTAAATTCAATTTTTGGGGAAAACTGCATGATCTAAAAAAAAGATTTTCTTTGGTGGAGCAGCCCTATACCGGTCCCTGTTATAGAAGGAAAAAAAGGCCCCGATTTGCCCTTTCCTTAATTAAATATTTTTAGTTTTTAACTTGGGCACATGTAGCCAAAAAAAAAAAAAACAATTTGACCTAGAGACATAAGATTGACGAATCTTTGGAGTGTATGGGCACCCGTGTATGTCCTATGGACACATTTCTAGTTCATCCTAAAATGTTCAAAATTTCATTGTTAAAATTCACCATTTTGCAAAGTACACACTTGTTATTCTAAAAACGGACCTTTTTTATGTTTTCCATTGTTGTTATTTGGCTTTGATTTCTTTTGACTTCAGCTATGTTCTTGGGCAAGACAAAATTTCTCTGTGACAGTTAATTGATCCTGGAAATTGAGTCTTATTGAGTCGTATGATTATTTGCCTTTCACCACTGATTCTGTATTTAGTAGGCTGTTTTTTTTGCAGAGAAATTGGTTATTTGGATCGACCACAAAGATACGACAAAAACTGTCTTAAAATTGGAGTGAAAACCATATAAGACTGAAGTAAAGACCAGATAGTTAAACAAACTTTTAAACTCACTGTAGTAATCAGGTGCCTTTTACATTGGCATAAAGTCTATGAATAATATTGGATAAGTGAATTAATACAAAAAGGGGCATGTTCTTATATAATATATAATATGACACAAGTATTTTTAACAAGCTTAAGTGTAAGTTCGTATTCAAAATTAGGTCAAGTCCATTAAATACAAAACAGGGCAAGTCAATTTACAAAAATAGGCAAGTTCATTTATACAAAACAGGGCAAGCCCATTCACAAAACAGGGCAAGTCGATTAATACAGATAAATGCAATTCCATTTACAAAACAGGGCAATTCCATTTTTACGAAACAGGGCAAGTCCATTTATAAAAAAGGGCAAGTCCGTTTACGAAACAGGGCAAGTTAATTTATATAAAACAGTACAAGGCCATTTACAAAACAGGGCAAATCCTTTTAATAATCAGGCCAAGTCCATTTGTACAGATCAAGGCAAGGCCATTTACAAAATAGGGCAAGTCCATTAATTCAAAAAATGGCAATTCCATTTATCTAAAACAGGACAAGCCCGTTTACAAAATAGGGCAAGACCATTTGTTCAAAACAGGACAAGTCAATTTTCAAAAGAGGGCATGTCCATTTATACAAAACAGGGCAAAAAAATAGAGAAATACAGAATCCCTAAAGCCCATTTACAAAGACAGCTAAGTCCATTTATACAAATAAGGGCAAGCCCATTGACAAAACAGGACAAGTCCATTTTATACAGATCAGGCAAGTCAGTTTACAAAACAGGGCAACTCCATTTTTACAAAACAGGGCAAGATTTTTATACAGATCAGGGTTAGTCCATCTATAAAAAAAGGGCAAGTCCATTATCTGAAACAGGGAAGCCCGTTTACAAAACAGGGCAAGTCCATCTATACATTTCAGTGCAAATCTCAAAAAAGGGCAAGCCCATTTGTTCAAAGCAAGACATGTCCATTTTTATAAAACAGGGCAATTCCATTTATACAAAACAGGTCAAATGCATTTTTACAGATCAGGGCAAGTCTATTTACAGAACAGGGCAAGTCTATATAAACAAAATAGGGCATGTCCATTTACAAAACAGGACAAATCCATTTATACAAAACCTGGCAAGTCTATTTACAAAACATGACAAATGAATAATACAAGTTTAAACTTTTACATGCTATTGAATTAAGAACCATTGAAAATAATTTGTTTTATTTTAGAACACCATGGATTGTGTGGAGTTTTACTATAGATCAAAGAAGAGTGAACACTATAAACAAAATAAGGTGAGATAAGTTAAGTAAATTTTATTAAAGTGACATTGTGTTATGTGCATACATAATGAGGATATATATTTATTTTCACAATATCCGGCCATGTTGGGCCTACAAGTCACTTAATCAGTTAGTGATTTAAAACACATTTCTAAGACACAATAACAACATCTGAATAAGTGAAATAAGAAGTATACAAACATAAATATTTTTCTAATGTCTTTAGATCATATACAGCTGTCATTCATGTACATAGCTTTAGGGCAAATACATTTTTAACATTTTTTAACAAGATTTCATTTGTGAAAAATGTTTTCCCAACGTATTAATACAAAACTTAATAGTAGTGTAGGGACAAAGTTTTTTTCTATAAAATTGAAGATTGCTTTAATGCAAAGGTCAATGCATAGAACCTGACCTATTCCATTCTTATTATCAGATAAGTGGATACAATTACAATTTCACCACAACCTATTTGTTAACAAAAGAGCACATGTTTATGTTTGTGGTTAAATCTATTGTTATTGAAATAAAAGGCAAGAGTAGGGATCTATCAATGCAGTTGAGTCTAGTGAATTTGGTTATGAAGGTCGTATTTCACATGGTCCAAATTTCATGGCTGTACATCAAAGGACAACACAGTAAGACCATTTGTCGAAATCTAGGTAAGCTGATATCAAAGTTCAGTTACATTTAATCTGTGCACATGGTTCAATGTCATAGCTGTACATCAAAGGACAACAAATGTGCTCACTTCATCAAAATCTAGGTCACCTGATATCAAAATTGAAATTCACAACTAAAACTGTGTGCACATTGTACAAATCTAAAGACTGTTCATCAAAGAACAAGAAAGCAGGTCACTGTCCCCTTGGGCAGCCAAAAAATTGACCCAAGGATTTGATTCCGACAATCTTGATAAAGGTCCACCAGACAAGCTTTTATGTCAAATATCTAAGCTGTAGCATTCTCCTATTTCGAAAACATTTGTTCAGTTTCTATTTTTACTATGTGTACAAAGTGAAACAAATCACTCACCCCCACCCTTCCGAACGGGACCAATTTTGATCCCATGGCTATAATTTGAAACAATCTCTGTAGAAGTTCACTACACAATGTGTCATGCAAAATATCTAACCTCTAGCCTTTGTCAATTCAGAGAAAACAAACTTTTTCAAATTTCTACTGTATACATATAAGGAAAACCAATCCCCCCTGGTAATTTTGACATTAGTAGAGGCAAAATTTAAACAGCTCTAAGCCCCCCCCCCCCCTCGGCGGGGCCATTTTTGACCACGGGGCTATAATTTGTACAGTTTTGGGTTCATTACAGAATGTTTCATGCAAAATATCTTATGTCTAGCCTTTGTCTACTAAGGCAACATTTTTTATGTTTTTTTTTCTATATACATATAAGGAAAACCAAAGACCCCGGGGCGGGGCTAATTTTGACACTAGAGGGGAAATTTGAACAACTTTAGTAAAGTACTTATAGACAATACCATATACAAAATATCAAAGCTCTTCAGACAATGAGAAATTTTAAGTTTTTGATATATGTACATAGTGAAAATCAATGCCCCCGGGGCGGGCCAATTTTGACCGAAGGACTGTAACTTGAACAATCTTTGAAGAGGTCTACCAAAAATGCCTTATGCAATATATCTATGCTCTAGGCCTTGTGAGTCTTTACAAAAAGATTTTTTTAAATTTGTTCTTATTATTTCTTTTTGTTGCCATGACAACCAGATTTCTGCATGGAATGTAATTCTATGAAAAACCTTTGGAAGCCCTTTATCCAAGAATAACTCCTGTTAAGTTTAGTTAAAATTGGACTGGTGTTTTTTTACAAGAAGAGAAGCTTATTTGGTTCACTTTGTATTCTATATAACACACATATATATATACACGCACGCAGGCACGCACGCACACACACACACACACACACACACACACACACACACACACACAAAGGTGATTCGCTTCGTGCCACCGCATCGCAGATGCTGCGATGGGATAAAAAATAACAGGTTCTTTCATAAATCATTACATATTTAATGCAGTTTAAAAGAAAATGTGTATAATCTTCTACAACATTAACTGGACAAAATATTTAATTTACATTTAAACCGACATATCTTCCCTTTTCTATCCTAAATTGAAGTATACCACATCGGAATTGGGCTAAATGAGGAGGTTAAGTCTTAGTTATTGACGAAAGTAAATCATTTTCAGTATTATAATGATGTTTTAATTTAAGTTTAGCAACATTTCTTACAATTTTGCACCAATTAACAAACTATGCAACCTCAACATCTTGATGTTTACAGGTAACTTGTTTTCATAGTACAATGTACATGTAATGTGACATTTGAATTTGTTGCATATATTCTTTACATCAAAGCACCATGTTTTTCTGAAACAATTTTAATCAAAGGAGAACATTTTATTTTGGCAGTCATAGAGTCTTAGCATGTTTACAAGTCGATCCCAAAAGCGTTAAATAATAACCCAACGTCTATGTTGAGTAAAAATCCAATCCATATCATCATTTATTGCTAATATGGTGCAAATTTAGGCAAAACCATAAAATATCTTATTGCTCTGTTTTGCGTCATATTGATAATGTTTTAATATACTACTCAACTTTTGTTTAGCACTATATATTTGGGTGTGATTCATTAACGCCGTGCGAAAGGTTTTTAATGTCGAAGTACTGTTTTAGCACTTCAGCTGAAGGCCGAATTCAACCATATACACTGATTTTGTGATAGAGAAGAGGTTGGCCCCCTCCCTCTTTAAAGATTTCAGAACATCCAAATTTGTTAAATTGATTTTTTTGTTTACTGTTTTAGACTGAATACCTGGTGTGTTACCCGTGACTGTCAATGACAGCTTGGCAGCGCCTTCTCATACTCTCTGTTAGTTTTCTGATCGTTCTAATGGGTATGACTGCGATCATGGCTCAAAACCCCTGGATGGTTCTGGCAGCTGATGAGCTTAATTTTAACCTGCAGCTCATTTCATACGCGTTAATATTTAGTCAAGTGAGAGAGCTGGCCCGACCATGTGCTCAATTGACTCCATCTCTATATAGTTCTACACCACTCATGTCCTATTTGGGCAAGCTTTATCGTCCATTAGAATGAATTGATCGCCTACTGCTCCAGTTTTCAACCTTATCTTGTTGTCTAAGATGTTGTGTACTGTATAAGTGGATATTTTTGCGGCACAGAAATTTTGCTTGGACTTTTTGCTTGCTGAAATATTTGCGAAATTATGATTAATGAATTAAATACAGTTTGTGTGATATATTTGAGTAATTTCACACCTTTATTATTTATATAATTGTTTCAAATATACATTGTAAGTTTGATAAAGAACCTGATCACACATTTCTTTGTCATAAACTGAAACATTTTTTTTATATGAAAAACTTTGTGTGTTATTAACACATGTATGATTTCATTCAAACATTTATGATTAATGAAGACCAAACTTAAACCAACAAGCATAAGAATAATTAAGCTCAGTACCTGAACAGTCAAACTTATTCATGTAAGATGTTGTATGAAAACGTGTTTTCAATTGATAGAAGAAAGTTTGCCTAAAAAATCAAAAAAAAAATCTGCGTGATCAATTATTTGTGAATAATTTCAATTCGCAAAAATCACAAATATTTCCACGTCTAAAAATTGACCACTTATACAGTATTTATCGCTGACCTGTCCATGTGCCTCTATTAAGCACAACCAGGCCGGTTCGTCCATCTCAGCTGATGCCTTTCCACACCAAAACTGACCCACCTCCTTAGCAGTCAATATTTGCAGCCTGAAACCGCTCACCTTGTTTTCTCCAGACTCTATCACGCCTATCTTTGAAGTATGGGCAGAACCTGGACTGATCATTGAACAAAAAGTGTTTCCAGTGTTGCATGGTCCATTGTGTCAGCTCCATGGTCCATTCAAAACGGCCCAGGCGATATCGACACGTCGAGGAGATACGAATGCAAGGTCTTCTTGACCGCAAAAACTTCGTGAAGCCCTATATGTACCGCCTGCGTGGAAACACGAACCCCCCAACATAAACAAGGTCATTTCGAAGAGAAGTTGCTGTCAAAAAATTTCAACGACGCACCATAACAACCAAAAACCGATCCTTAGCCGGTGTTGTGACCCTTTGCCGACCTCCAGCATGCCCCCTGGCGAGTGTACCTGTTTGCAGAGCTATGGCTCCTTCATTTTTGTGCTCACTTCAGGGAAGGGGGGCTTTAGATTTACCCTTGTCGTCCGTCTGTTCATCCGTCGGTCCTTTGTCATTTTGTGTGGCACGTAGCTTAAAAGTATTTGACCTAGAGTCATGAAACTTTTCGGATGATGATCAGTATGTGAAATTGTGAACCTGGAGTTTTGTTGTTGATTTTTTTCTGTTTTATCAGTTATTGCCCTTGACTTAGTTAAAAGTTGCCATTTTCAACTTGTGTTGCATGTAGATAAAAAAGTATTTGACCTAGTGTCGAGTCATCAAACTTCACAGAAATGTTGCTCTCACATGAAGTTATGCACCTGGATATTTAATTGTGGATTTATTTATTACTTGTTGAGTAATTGCGCTTGACTTAGTGAAAATTTGCAATTTTGAACTTGTTTCACATGTACCTCAAAAAGTTTTTGACCTAGAGTCATGAAACTTCACAGGAATGTTGTTCAGCATGTGAAATTGTGCACCATAGGTTTTCCTTCGTGAATCGTTTTTCAGTTTTGTTAAGAGTAATTACCTTTGACTTCGTATTAATTTGCAATTTTCAACTTGTTCATGCATAGCTAAAAAGTATTTGATCTGTAAAAAAAATCTGGAAACAAAGTGATCCCTCGGAAGCATTAATCACAACAAGATTACAAGAGAATTGCAGATTCGGTTTGATTAAGTCTGTACATGAGGGATAATGAATATGTGCAACATCCCTCACGCCCCCTAGCACCGGCTTGAACGGTACTCAATTCTCATCACTA